TATATATGGTGAGGGAATCAGTATCATTTGTTATTTATTAAGTGCTCTGGAGTTGGTTCCAACTCATAGTGATGCTGTATAGGGTTTCCAAGGAGCAGCTGGTGGGTTTGAACTGCCATCCTTGTTGTTCTCACTCCAGTGCTGATCCTACAGTGCCACAGCAGGAGTCTCAGTGCTCCGTCGGCACTATCATCATTTGCTTTCACCCAGAGGTCCCTTAAGTATAACAGTGCAATGATCAGGCATGGCAGCACACATACTTCTTAGAACCTGCGTTGTCCTCCCTGCTGGGGTGACCAGTGAATGACCTCTTAGCTTCTTATTGAGAAAGAAAAGGGAAAATAACTGAGGCCTTGACTGAAGTAAAAATATCCACTTAACACCTGTGCAACCTTGGCAGATAACTTAGCATTTTGTACCTCCTCCTTTTTCCCTCCCTCAAATCCCTGTAAAGTCTAGTGGTTAGCTTATCTTCATGCTTCTCCCATCTTAAACAAATAATAAAGCCACTTTTCTACTTGTTAAGTGTGCCATCGACTTGCAGTGATTCTGTATAGGGTCTTCAGGGAGCAGTTGGTGGGTTTGAACCACCAACCTTGTCTTTAGCAGATCAGTGCTGACCCTACAGAGCCCTCCCCCAGGACTCATCTACTTACATAAGTTTAATTATAGTGATTGAAAGAAGTGGGATACTGCAGAAAGAAGTTATCATTGATATTTCCTAACCGAGTCTGTAAAAAAAAGAAGAGTGTGACTGTAATTTTATTTCTCCATTGTGGGATTCTGTGATGTACCACAATTATTTATTCCATTTGCTTGTTTAAGGTGTATCAGGAATCAATTTAGTAAACATTTGTGCTGTGCCTTTGTGGTAGATACCACGTAGGCAGTGAGAACTTTCAGTGAATGGGTTCAGCCTCTGCCTTCATTCTATCTAGTCAGGGAGGAAGGCATGAAAACAAACATCATAAATGCACTGTGATAAGTAGAACAAGGTAAGTATGTACGCTAAGTTTCAGAGGTAGTAGAGAGGGGAAACAGACACACACATGAGAGTAAATCATAGTATTGGTACAAAATCCTAGTCAGCTTTATTAAACAAAAATATTAAATTGTTATGGTATTGTTTCTCCTCATCTCCTTCATCTAGATCTTCATACTTCTGAAGACAGTGTTTCCATCTCTCTAACTCTCCCCTGAAGAATTCTGCACTTTTCAATTTACATGACATCAAAACAGCAGTTTTGGCATCCTCAAAGGACTCAAATTGCATTCCTTTACAATGCTCTTTGAGTTTGGTGAACAGAAGGAAGTCCTAAAGGGTAAAGTAGGGGCTGTAGGGTGGATGGGATAAGGTTTCTCAGTGAAATTCTCTTAGGAGAGCCCTTGATACCCTCAAAGAATGAGCAGGCGCATTGTGATGGGAAGTTTTCTTGGCACAACTTTCCTGGCCTTTTTCTCATCTTCTAATAAGCCCTCACCACCATCCTATGTCCTTTGAGAAAGCCTATCAAGATTACTCCTTTGGATTCTAAAAAAAAATAATCTCTGTGACCCCTGAGTTGACCTGTCTGCCTTGAATTTAACTGGCCCAGAAGACCTCCTTGGAAGCTACTGCTTTGTTTGGACCTTGCTTTCTGGATCATATTGGTAAATCTAAAACTCATTCCTGGTTATAATTTGTTCCATAAAGTTGTGTTCCTAACGTCAATCTTGCTTAAAAGACATCTGATGAAAGATCAGTTCTTTGAGCCAGCTGATCTTTGTGCAACATTTTTCTTTCTTGAAGACATCCTAACATGACTTCTTGTTATAGGTGCCATTGAGTTGGTTCGTACTCATTTTGATCCTGGGCACAAAAGAACAAAACATTGCCCAGTCCTCGCCATCCTCACAATTGTTGTTACACTTGAGTTCACTGCTGCTGCCACCCATCTCGTTGGGGTTTTTCCTCTTTTTTACTGACCCTTCACTTTACCAAGCATGATGTCCTTCACCAGGAACTGGTCCCTCCTGATAATATGTCCAAAGTATGACAGACAGTCTCACCACCCTGGCTTCTAAGGAGAGTTCTGGTTGCATTTTTTCCAAAACAGATTTGTTTGTTGTTCTGGCAGTCCATGGTACTTTGAATACTCTTCTCTAACTCTGTAGCTCAAGTGCATCAATTCTTGTGTGGTCTTCCTTATTCGCTGTCCAAATTTCACATTGCATATGACACTATTGGAAATACCATGGCTTGAGTCAAGCTCACCCTAGTCCTCAAACAGGACTAAGACAAGTCTATTCCTGAGAGAATTTGCCTGCAGTCATCCACTGATTGTAGAGCCATGTTTAAACTTGTTTTGTTTTAAATAAACTTGTGCATATATGAACTGGAACTCTAGTAGCAATATATATATTTTTAATTTACCCTCACACATTTCTTCAGACCTACTTTGAATTCTAAAAAAGGAATAACGTAAGGGACAAACGTAGCTTTATTGTAAGTTAAAACTTACAATAACAAAACAAAAGCACTCCTAAATCGTTTTACCCATTGAATTAAATGTTTCCCCTTTCCCTCTAGTATTAGTTGCCTTAAACTAGAGTCAAATGAGTTATGCCTTGTGAGGTTTAAAAAGAAAGTACAGGATACTTTTTGTCTTTTCATAGATAAATTTAGACTTTGCTGTTTGAAACAAAAACTAGACTTCATTTTTCAATGTCCTCAAACATCATCATTGACCCTCCTGTCGCTAGCAATTAACACTTCAGTCATTGAACAAAAAACACTTAAATATGCCAAGTAATCATTATTAACTAAGTGCCATCAAGTAGGTTCGACCCATAGGGAGCCTGTGTAGGGTTTCTGAGGTGCAAATCTTTGTGAGTGAAGAAACCCTTTCTCCTGCAGAGTGGCTGGTGGCTTTGAATCACTGACCTTGTGGTTTGCAGTCTAGTGCTTATCCTATAGAGCCACTGTGCTCTCCAAATATATCTTCGACTATATTAAAATTGTATTTAGAATTTGGAAAATAGAAACAATTTTCCTAAAAATATTGGTGAGTCTCAGCATAATCAGTTTTGTGAAATATCATATAATCTGGTAGATTATGGCTTGCCTGGTAATTTGTAGCAATCTTGAGTTTAACTAAGAAATTGGAAAGTACTTAAACTGACTATGAAAGCTCTACTGGTGATTACTGTGAGGCAGGGAGTCTGGGGAACTTCTTATAGAGGGTTGACCTGAGCTAATTTGTTTTGTTTGAAACTAGAAATCATATTGTTGAAGTTTGCATGCTGTTTTCTTTCAATAGCTGTATTAATACAAAGCATCATGTTTTTAATGGGCTTCCTCCTTTCTGCAGGAATAAATTTGGCTTCTGGAAAAAAAAGAAAAAAAAAACATACCAGCGATTCTGCAAAATCACACCTCTTTCATCATTGTAGGGATGCAGACTTTAGTTCAGTGACTCCAGACATATTTTCTGGGAACATGTAAAAACGTACTCAGGAGTACTGAACATAAAACCCGATTGTGTACTCATAAACATTTGTGCAACCTTATGGTCCATTTACCATTGTGTTTCTTAAACCTGGGTGTATATTTTAAAAATTGTTAGAACTAATGAAAATTGGAACAAGATGCTATTTGAAGGAAAGTACTACTTCAAGATGCCTGAGAAATGCTGTTTTGTGAATTTCTTCTAAGAAGTGAACAAGCCTCTTGCTCATAATACAGACAGAAGCTATAGTTTCTAAATGCCCCTGCCCAGGAGATTAAAATAGAGACAATAGGATATTGGCCTTTTATATTTTAGTACAGCGATAACCCATTCAAATCAAGTATTGAAAAAACATGTTTCCTTAAGAGACAATGAACTGTTGTAAAAGTAACAGGTAGTACATTTAGTTTGTGATTTGGAAAACATCAATTCTGGGAGACCCAAAGTGCCGCCTGAAAGGACACATGGTGACTGTGGAGACAAGAGGGAAGAGGTGGTGAGAGAAAGCTTTTTAAATTTGGTGATGCTCTCCACTAAACCACTGGATGGCCTATATCTCATGAAACGTAAAATCCTAATGTGACTATAATCTGAATCTGAGGGAAAGGTTATTCTTAAAAATCATTACGCTGTTGCAAAATATATTATCCTTCAAGTTTGACCTTTTTTTTTCAGGTTGAAAAAGTTAAGCACGAGTCATATAGTAGATATTTCCATTCTTTGCTTAGTGTCTCTTTAAAACTGCATCATAACCTATGGCTATGTAACTGTCCTCCCATTTTTACTTCCTTTGCCTCTCCTCCCCAGGTTGGCCTTCGTTCCATGATGTGATCAGTTCTGATGCAGTCTCCCTCACCGACGACTTTTCCTACGGGATGCACAGGGTGGAAACAAGCTGCTCTCAGGTCAGTTAACCCCACCTGGAAACAACACTCTGCTCATGCTACACTGCAGACATTTCCAAGACTCCTGATTGTGCTAAGTGCAACAACTAAGGCCAAGAGACCCGTCTCACAAGAGGGGCAGACAAGCACATGATGTCTGTATGCTGTTGTGAAGTGCCATCATGTCAGTTCTGAGTCTCAGCGACTCTATAGGGTTTCCAAGGAGCAGCTGGTGAGTTTGAACCACCAACTTTGTGGTTCAAACCGACCTTGAGTGTGATACCTATAGTGTGATACCAGGACTTCCACACCATAATGTCTATATGAAGTCCTAATAATATTTCAGTATCCCGATTTAGCATGTTTAGTTAAATGTTAGTCACTGGCCTCAGTACTATTAAACAAAATGACTGGTAGAAAACAATCTTCAATCAGTTCAGTACAGTGGTGGTGGTGTGTGCTGTCAGGTCGATTCCAACTCATGGCAGCTCTTTATAGGGTTTCTGAGAGTGGCTGATGAGTTTGAACTGCTAACCTTGCAGTTTACAGTCCAGTGCTTATCCTACAGAGCCACACCAAGAGTGGGTTACTTTTAAGACATATGCAGATTTCCTGTGAGCCATTCATCAATGACTTTCCTGGGTGGGTGTAAAGAGGGAGGTAAACCTGAAGAGAGGCTATAGAAGGCAGACTATCTAAGGGCAGAATAGGAATATGCAATAAGTAAGGTAATTCCTTCTTCACTTCTAGTTTAGAGACCTCGCCTCATTTCCAAGGTGGTTCTGAGTAATTCATCCTACTCTGCTCTAAAAAATTAATGCTTGTTCTAAGGAAAAACTCAGCATGAATTGATGACCACAAAAGCCACCCCCCAAAACCAACTGCTGCTGACTAGATTCCAATTTGTTGCAATCGTATATATAGGGCTTGTTGTTGTTAAGTGCTGTCAAGTTGGTTCCGACCCATAACGACCCTGTATAAGGTTTCTGAGAAGCAGCTGATGAGCTTGAACTGCTGACCTTGTGGTTCAAAGCAACTTTGCTGTCCAGCACATTAACCCAAAGCGCCACACCAGGACTCCTATATAGGTCATATGGGGCTATAAATCTTTATGGAATCTGAAAACCTTGTCTTTCTCCCTCAAAGTAGCTGCTGGGTTTGAACTGCCAACCTTGCGATTAGCAGTCCACTGTTTATCCTATTCTACAGTGCCACAGGGTTGAGATGGAGGCAAAAAATATGGGTTGAGAAAGAGGCAAAAATAGTTACCCTTTCATCCTCCATCTGGAGACTTGAATCTGAGTGTATTTTGGGCATAAACCCAGAAATTGTCAAAATTGAAAAGAAATGCATAAACATAGATATCTTAGGCATTAGTGAGCTAAAATGGACTGGTATTGGCCATTTTGAATCTGTCAACCACATGGTTTACTATGCCGATAATGACAAATTAAAGAGGAATGGTGTTGTATTCATTGTCAAAAAGAACGTATCCAGATCAGTCATGAGGTACAATGCTGAAATTGATCAAACATGTAATCAAGATGTATTGTTCATTACTGGTGATTGGAATGCAAAGGTTGGAAACAAGAGGAAAGATCAGTAGTTGGAAAATATGGCCTTGGTGATAGAAATGATGCTGGAGAACGCATGATAGAATTCTACATAATCAATGATTTGTTCATTTCAAATACTTTCGTTGTGCATAGGGTCGCTATGAGTCAGTACTGACTGGATGGCACCTAACAACAACAACAAATATGAGAATTACATTCCTCTTAAAAAGCAGATTTTATGTTTTCTTTTGTTGTTGCTCAATATTATTGTTCTGACTCATAGTGATCCTATATAGGGATTCCAAGGAATAGCTGGTGGATTTGAATCTCCAAGGTCATTCTTGTTGCTCAGAAACAAGTTTGTGCTGTTGGGACTCATGCTCAAGGGATTCTAATGTAATTGGCCTGGAGTTAGGCCTAAGTATGAACTTTTTTTTTTTTTTTTTTTTTAAGCTTTTATTGTGAATTGAGTAAGTGAAGGTTTACAGGTAAGATCATCAGTTTACATGCAACAAGTCATTTCAATCCCTTCCATGCACCTTCACCTAACAGTATTTACTTCTATTGCCTTTTTTTTTACGTACACTTACCACATGAAAATATATATTCATTTAAATTTGCAAAGGGTGCATTTTGAAAGCTAGCCTCCTGCCTGCAGGTACACTGCCTGTCTCAGTCCTTGGGCCTATAGCCCTCTGCTGCTCTGTCTCTCTATTCCTTCACCTCTGCTACCATCTCTGTTGTCACTTTTCTGGTTAGGATCCCTCGCTCCTCCCATGCTCTTCCCTATTGATGGTCCTAGATGTCAGTTCTTGAAATGACAGATTAACTGCTCCCCCTTTTAGTTACACCTTTTCTATATTTATAATTGTGACCATTGCCCTTAATCCTGTTAAAAGTTACTCACAATTGAATTGTAAAATCCTATCCCCATCATCACCAGACCCATCTGGACAAGAGGGAAACTATTCAGTGGGGATTCTGTCTTACCCATCTCCTTCTGACACAAAGCCCCCTCACAAAAGATTGTAAGCCACATACTTCGTGCCTTCATAGAACCCCATTTTTTATATTTGAAGTCTCAGTTGCCCATTCCTATCAACCCAGTGTACTGAGAAGGCAAGCTTGATCCTTTCAGTTGGAATTTTGGGCAACTTCATCTGTAAGCAAAGGTCCAGTTCATCAAGCTGTAACAATTTACATGTGCTCCCTGTATCAAAGTTCTTTATCTTAACCTGATCAAATTCTAGTCAGCAAGCCATTCAAGCTAGGTCAAATGGGTACTACCTGAAAGTTTGGGAGTTCTTGCATGCCTCCGTCTACTTCAGACCAGCTGGCCACTTCATTCTTAACTCTAGTCTTTAGGCTCCAGAGTTTACACATCTCCCTGAAGTTCAAACCAGCCAACCCTTCCTCTTCAGGTCATTGGGCATCTGTGGAACGTGGCCAAACTCAGCCCATGTCTTCATTTCTGTATTTCCCCCACTTCCACTCACAAGTTGACCAGAGTGGTCATGAATATAAGCATTTTAAATGCTCCCTTTGTGCTTGTTTGGCTTCTGACTCATAACAACCATATGTACAACTAAACGCAGTACTGCTGAGTCATACATCTTCTTCAATATCATTGCTGTGTTTCAACTCATTGTTGTAGCCCATCTCATTGACGGTCTTCCTCTTTTTCCTGATGCTCTACATTACTAAGGATGACGTCTGTCTCCAAGGACTGGGCCCTCCTGATAACACATCCAAAGTACTTGAGATGAAGCCTTGCCATTTTCACTTATAAGGAACATTCTGGTTGTACTTCTTACAAGTCAAATTTGTTTGTTCTTCTGGCAGTCCATGGTATATTCAGTATTCTTCCCCAACACCATAATTCAAAATGCATCAATTCTTCTTCAGTTTTTCTTATTCATTGTCCAGCTTTCACATGGAAATGAGGTTATTAAAAATACACTGGATTGGGTCAGGGGCACCATAGTCTTCAAAGTGGAATCTTTGCTTTTATACACTTTAAAGAGGTCTTTTGCAGCACATTTACCCAGTGCAATACATTATTTGATTTCATGACTACTGCTTCCATGGATATTGATTATGGATCCAAATAAAATTAAATGATTGACAATTTTAATATTTTTCTCCATTTATCACGATGTTGCTTATTGATTCATTTGTGAGGATTTTTGGTTCCTTTTCTTCTTGGATCAACTATCAACACTCGCGGAAGTAGCAGTCAAGAGATCAGACGACGTATTGCACTGGGCAAATCTGCTGCACAGGAACTTTTTAAAGTATTGAAGAGCAGAGATGTCAGCTTGAGGACTAGGGTGCGCCTGACCCAGGCCATTGTGTTTTCAATAGCCTCATATGGATGCGAAAGCTGGACAGTGAATAAGGAGGATCGTAGAAGAATTGATGCCTTTGAGTTGTGGTGTTGGAGGAGAATACTGAGGGTGCCATGGACTGCCAAAAGAACCAATAGATCTGTTTTGGAAGAAGTGCAGCCAGAGTGCTCCTTGGAGGCCAGGATGGCTAAGCTTCGTCTCTCCTACTTTGGACATGTAGTCCGGAGGAAACAATCATTGGAGAAAGATGTCATGCTGGGTAGGGTGGAGGGTCAGAGAAAAAGAGGAAGACCCCCAATGAGATGGATCGGCCAGGTGGCATCATTGATGGACTCAGGGGTGGCAGCGGTGGTGAGGTTGGCCCAGGATCGAGCATTGTTTCATTCTGCTGTGCATGGGGTCGCTATGAGTTGGTTCCGACTCGATGGCACCTGACAACAACAACAACAACAACAACAACTCTATATTAAAGTCTACAGTCCTTAATCTTCACTGCTGAGTGCTGCAAGTCCTCTTCATTTTCATCAAGCAAGGTCACGTCATCTTCATATTGCAGGTTGTTAACGAATCTTCCTCCAGTCCTGATGCCATGTTTTTCTTTATATAGTCCAACTTCTCAGATTGCTTGTTCATCATACAGATTAAATAACTATGGTGAAAGTATACAAACTGAATGCACATATTTCCTGATTTTGAGTAGTGTAGCTCCATTGTTCTGCTTGATCAGTTGCCTCCTCTATGTACAGGTTCCACATGAGCACAATTAAATATTCTTTGCAATGCTATCCGTAACTTGTTATGATCTACACAATCAGTTGCCTTTGCACAGTTAATAAAAGACAGGAAAACATCTTTCTGGTATTTTCTGCTTTCAGTCAAGATCCATCTGAGATCAGCAATAATATCCCTTGTTTCATGCCTTCTTTTGAATCCAGATTGAATTTCTGGTAGCTCCCTGTTGATACACTACTATATCCATTTTTTAAAAATTATCTTTAGCAAAATTTCACTTGCAAGTGTTTTAAATTATATTGTTCGATAATTTCCATCATCTTATGACTCACCTTTCTTTGGAATGGGCACAAATGTGAGTATCTTCTAGTTGGTTGGCCATATA